TGGTGGTGGTTATTTCTTGCCATTACTGCGACCAACTCCGGTCAGAGGAATCTCTGGTGGCTCTTGGTACTATTATGTTGGTCTGGTTTGTGGTGGCGTTCCGACGACTTCGGTGACTCTGGCTGGAACCCTTTCTTCCCCACCTCTCTCTGTTCGTCCTGGCTACAGATGGCGCCACTCTCCTCCCGACATTTCTACATGTACCTCTACCAACTTGCAGCTGCACCACCTGTCTCTTTTGTTTTTTTAGTTTAGTTGTCTATTACTGGTCTGTTGTTTTGGCCTTTGTGTCGCTTATGCGAATTTGTTTGTAGCCTCACTGTCTCGCGTAGGTTTTGATAAGGGTTTCGGTGCTTGGTTTTTCAAGTTTTACGGGACATATCAATCTCGGGATTTCTCATTGTAGTGGTGTGTTTTGTGTGATGATCGTATAGGGGCTTTTAAAATCATTTGTATTTGTGCTTTTTACCTTCAGATCAAGAAATTCATCACTGAAGTATATGTACTCATCTAGCATCCTTGTAATTGTTTGGTTATGTTAATGAAATCCTATTGTTTCTTCTCAAAAAAAAAAAAAAACAAAAAAAAAAAGGTGTAAAGCATTAAACTTTTTAAAATCTCTTTCAATATTTTAAAGAGAAGTATTCTGTCAGACAAAAAGCTAGTTAGTTCCGTGGTAAGAATTATTAAATCGAGTCTAATGTGACACTGCAGAAATAGAAGTTTGTCATTTGTCTTCTATAAGGAACTAGTGCAAAGACCGTTCTTTCCCTCGAACCCGGTAAGAGAACAAAATATGAATGGGATCATCTATCATTTGATAAAATAAAAATAAAATTCAAAATTCAAAAAAATAGATGATACAATTTCCTGATTTTAAGGTATTAAATTATGTATTTTAAAGTAAAACTTACACTTTTTTTTTTTTCGATTTCATTATTCCATATATGTTGGTAAACACAAGGAAAGTTAAGAATAAGAAAATTTTGAACACTCATGTTTTACTAAAATCTAAATGATTCAAACTTTAATCCTTCATAGAGGCCCAAAGGTGGCTAATTGAGAAACCCTAGAAGCGTAGGTGATGGATTAACATACACAACTTCCTGGAAACTTGAAGCGGCTGACAACCTATACCGCCAATTCCACATCACAAAATAACACTTGTTCATCCATACATCGTGTCATATACAGACCTTCAAAAGCCCCATGTAATAAACAAAGCTAAACCACAAACATACAGTGTCAAAGTATACATTATCAAAATACCCCAATAAAATAGAAATCTATCACCAATTAACCTACAAACTGAAAGGAGTAGCTAAACCTCATAACTATATCAACCGCCGGGGACTTGCGAGAACATAGTTCTAATGCCAGCAAAGTAGGACATGAATTCAGAACCATAGACTTAAGTAGGCAAAGCTCCTCTCTGAAACCAAGGTCTTGGTTTCGCACACCTTCACTTGAATGAGCGACGACTCGCGCTCTTGGGGTGGCCAGTGGATACAGGAACTCGATCGGAGTTCTCAATCAAAAGTGGGCAAATTGATGGCAAAAGAGAGTTTTTAAGGCTGGATTGGTAGTAAATCTTAGGGATTTGAGGGGTTTTTTTTTTTTTTTTTTTTTTCAAATTTGGTACACAATAGCAAGAAATAGGGAGAAATTGAAGGATAACCAAAAGACTATCATTAGACAATAATACTAAGTAGCGGTTTAGGTTGACTCTTAAGCATGCTGACTTTCTAAAATTGGTCAATTTCGATTTTACAAAGGCGGTTGCCCAGGCTCCATTATACAGGTTCTCGGTATATATGCACGCAAAAAAGAGATACCAAATAGAAAGAAGATTGCTTTACGTATACAAATACTAAAAACTTATCAATGATTCATTGTTATGTTAGGATCCACTTTTCTTTTTACTTTTTCATTACTCATGAAGATGATATAGATGTTGTCTCGAACTTAACCACCAATTTCAATACATGGTTGATCTAGGTTATGAAAACTTGAATGTGTGGGGCTTATCCACAAGGACCTCGGTGTAATCCTAAAAGAGTTACCGCATAATATACAATTTTATAGATAATAACTTATCTCATTTGGACAATTTTATTTGATCTACTTTCCAGTGTTGATCGAAAGTGTTTGATGTGCTTTTTTTTCAAATTAGAGTAGGTTTGGAAGTTCTTTTAAAATGACTGAAAGCGTTTTTTATTAAAGTTGTTTTAGAACCAATCATTTGTAAAAATGTATGTGAATTCTAAAAATGCACTTGAAGTGCTTCTTTCAAGTGGTTTAAGTGAGTTTGATTCTTACGTATAGGAATAGACACCTTGAGTTAGATGTTTGATTCCTATAACATTGTTGCTATGGTGGTCCGTTCTATCTATTAATTCAATGAGCTGTCTTTTTTTTTTTTTTTTTTTTTTAACACTTTGTTTTTTGTTGTTCTCATTTCTCTTTCAAATATTAGTCATTTACAATATAAGAATCACAGCTTAACATATGCTTGCATAAAATGATAATTATGTATTTTTTATGACTAATGTATGAAAGAATATATGTTAAAACACAATTTGCAAGAATTAGATACGACTTCTTCCTTAGACGTAACTAAGAGATGAGCATTGTCCTTTATTATATGGAAATTAAACTCATACAACAATAAAGTCTTATCATACTAAGTGGAGTTAGCTACATGAATCATAAAACATCACTTTGCTAGGTTTTGCACCAAACCTTCTGTTAACTCCAAATATTTCATGTATTTTCTTAAAGTCTCTTTCCAAGTCTTTTTAGGTTTACCTCTACCGCATTTTGGCCTCTATCTCAAATTTAAATTTTCTAGCCAAAGCATCTGTAAGTCTTCGTTTCACATGTCCAAACCACCTTTGCTAATTTTCTCTCATGTGGCAACTCGTACTTTACCTCGTATATTCTCTTTCTTAACCATGTCCTTTATCGTGTGCCCATATATCCAACAAAGCATTCTTCCGCTACACTTATTTTTTGCATGCATTGATGCTTGACGCCCAAAATTATGTGTCGTAAAGCATTGTTGCCGTTACTGCTATCTTATAAAAATTTCCCTTGAGCTTAGTAGCATACAAAGGTCACACAACACACCCGATGCACTCTTCCACTTCATCCATCCATCTTGTATTCTATGGTTGAGATCTCCATCTAATTCTCCATTCTTCTGCAAGATAGATCTAAGATAACAAAAGTGTTCACTTCCTGGCCTCTAATCTTCACCCTATCTCATTTGGGACCCCATTCCCATTGAACTTGCATTCCATACTTAGCCGAAGATATTCCAACACTTTCCGCCAAAGGTTGAGCTTCGTATTTACCGTCCCGTGTTTCATCTATCAGAACTATATCATATGCAAAAAGTATATACCAAGGGATATCATCTTTAATATGTCCTATTAACTCGGCCATTACCAATGCAAAAAGGTAAACACTTAAAGTTGCACCTTGGTGTAACTTTATGGTTATCGAAATACTTTTAGTTTGTCTTTTGTGAGTTCTTACTGCAATCCTTTCTCCATCATACATATCCTTGATTGCTTGGATATATGATACTTGTACTTATTTCTTCTCTAGAATAATCCAAAAGATTTATCTTGATCATACAATTTTTCCAAATCTATAAAGACTATTAGCAAATCCTTTTGCATATTTCTATATCGTTCCATCGATCTCCATAGAAGATAGATTGCCTCAATAGTCGAGCGCCCTCCCTGAACCTGAATTGATTGTTTGAGACCTATGCTTCTTGCCTAATTCTATGCTCAATTACTCTCTCCCAAAGCTTCATTGTATGAATCATTAACTTAATATCCCTATAGATAATGCAATTTTGTTTGTCACCCTTATTCTTCTAGATAGGCACCAAAATGCTGCTTCACCACTCATTTGACATCTTCTTCATTTCCAAAATCTTGTTAAAACGTTTGTGAGCCATGCTATACCCACCTACTTTTCTATGCTTCATCATTTTCAAAGGTACAACCACTTCCTCTTTCTTGATTCGGCAATAGGAGTAATTTCTACACTCTTCCGAGTTACTCAACACACTCTAAGAAGTACTCTTTTCGTGTTCTTCATTGAAAAGATTATGAAAATAAACTCAGCTCTCTTCGCCTCCTTCAATATTTTGTACCTCTCCCAATTTCCATCTGTTCTATCCTTGTATAATGCTTTACAACATTCCTTCTTCGCCTTAACCTTTTCCTATACCTCCTCCTTCCATCACCAAGATTCATAGTATAATTTATTGAACTCAAGAATGACGATCACTTCTATAAGACTCAAGTTGTTTGATACACTGTAAGACTCTTTCCTAAACAATTGAAATCATACCTAACAATGGTGTGTGAGGCCTAACTTAACACGTGAGGCTTTCATCACAGTAGTTTACGTACATATACAATGCAGGTCTACATTATCGGGACGCATCCATTCCCAATATATGCATTTATTTTCGTTTAAGCGCTTTGACAAGGAATTAAAAATTAGGGCTTTATCTTATACCACCTGTTACATGTTAGACACTTCAACCTCACCTTAGTGCCTCATTTGGTCTTTAGGATTGGTTTATAATGCACAATTCTTTCCGCATATTCACTGCATGCAAAATGCCTCAGTTAAAATGGACAATTCTTGCAGTCAAATGGATATACTTTTTTATTTGGTTGTTTCTTTGTAAGGGAAATTCTCGAAAATAAAATTAAAACTGAAGTTCCTTGTCTTTCTGTCTGTATGCATGCGTGTGTGTTTGAGCCTGTGTGTACGCATGGATGACTGGCACTAGCATTTGGCAACATGCTACATATGTATTAGGTTCATTCATGCCAAAATATGTGCTGCCTATCTGAAATAATATTACATGTCATTGGCACATAAGAAGCAAAACACTTTAACCTGATCAAACTTCAGTACCATTTTGTAGAACCCGCAGCACGTAGAAAAGCGACGTAGTTGAAAACTGATGAGCTTCTATGGAATCAAATTAGAAACTGCAGAAACATTTATACCCGCAGGTGCAAAAACAAAATATGGACCTCCATCAACACTGTTAGTATATACGACATTTACCAATTACCACTATTATCGTATCCTAGCCCTGTCCAGAAAAAGTTAAAATCAAGTCCTAGGTACTTCCGTAGATATACTGGTTCAATCGTACTAAAGGTTCACCTCACAAGCAACCACCCCTGCACCATAACAGTTCAAAGTGTGAACCTATTCCCGTTCCCATTCTACTCAAGAGCGACTGCAGATTATCGGTTTTAACTTTGGAGGAACCATATAAGCTCATTGTAGAACATAGTTCAGATATTAAGGAAGACTATTGTACATCTGTGTGAAGACCTCACATCATTATAAAGTATGCAGCTCCATTTAATCCTGTCCATATATATCAGTTATTTCTAATATGGAAATGACTGTAACTTGCAAGATGAAATTATAAAGTAGCAAGCTTACAAGAAAATTAGTTCTCGTGGTCTTCAGTTGCCGTGAAATGACTAATGCCGTCGAACAATCCCAGCTATAGAACTAAGAGTTTAGATTAGACTTCTCAAAGTGAATTGTCTAACAAGTAGTTAGCAAAGGAATCGGAAACTTCTCTCTAGTTCCCTGCTACAAGCAAGCAGATATGAAAACCATATGTTTATCAGTAACAACAGCTTACGAAACATATTGCTTGCAGGGAAGTGGATTAAAAAGTTAGTCTAAAATGTTACCATGATATATCAATTTTCTTTTGTTGTCCATATACAGATTTTTGAAAACATATTCCAAATGTTTCTTGTGCTAAGCTGGCAAAAAGCAAAAAAGTATCTGACGTAAATGTATCCTCTTACCAGCATAAAATCAGTAATCGAACGATACAACAAAGCAAAAGAGGAGCACTACCAATTTGGGAATCCAGCTTCTGAGGTTAAGGTATTCTTCAGTTCCCTGTCCTGCAGCAGTTTCATTGATAACTTATCTTCAAAACATTGTTAACATGTGAATTTCTTTTAACAGACGGCTCAGAAATAACAAATAGATCATTTTCTAGTAAACCATATTCATCAAAACATACAGCAAGATATGTATGTAGACATATCTTTCTTCTATAAATCTAATGACTAACTAGATTTTTTAAAATATGTGAGAATAAAGTGGAAATTAAACTCTATATTTTTCTTGTATAAATCTTCTCGTGCTATGCTGATTAAAACGCATCAGAAAGCTATTGCTAAGTAATTTAATGAAGTACAGCAGCCACCTCAAAGATTTGTAGGACAGCCAAAGGGTACTGGAAATGATGGTTGCTCTAGCTTATTCTCGAACATAAAGCATAGCATCTCAATGACGCTGCTTTCCAGGAAAAACACATTTCAGAATGACTCACAACCGTAACTTATGCTAGTCGACTTTTCTACAATCGAACAAAACACAAAAATGAAAGCAAACGAAGAAACAACTATTCTTCATACACAACCTGAACTCGTGGTTGTATCATGGAAGATAGAAGTTGGAACAAATCATCTGAAATAAAGTCTCCATATAAATAGTTCAAGTGATCCCATTGGTGGTATTGATATTGAATTTCATATCAGCCCTCCAACCTGGGTATACAAACTTCTGCTGGTAAATTGTATATGCGCTCGAATGAGATTGTTATTAATAAACAATCTAAAAACATATGGTCGCCAGATAATTAATGTTTATTTGATGAAAAACAAATATTTCTGTAGCAAAGACAAAGAAACTAGACAATAGGGGACAAGGTATTTACTGAATAGCATCCGTCTCAAGAACGACAAAACAGAAAAGAAAAGAAAAAAGTAATTTATAACAGCTTTCTAATCAGAATAGATAGCATGAGAGGACCAATCCTTACCATATGAGGTGAAGCCTACCAAGATGTCCAGAGTCCGACTTGTTAAAATGAAAAATATTCCCCTTGAGTTTCGGTAACACCATTCCTCATATTTGTTAGTAGAATACTACAAAAGGCTTCCTTGCGTATTCTTCCTTGAAATACAAGCATCCAAAATCTCAATCATCCAGAAGTACATTTCCAATCACAAATGCCGAAATCTAATCACAATACAAGTGCTTCATTGCATTGAACATTAAATTAATAATATGGTATAAAAGATGAGAAAACGGAGATGTAAAGTGATTGGGAGTCCAGATGAGTATAAACGTACCAAAATCTATTAAAAAAAAATACAAGGTACCAGTAAAAAAAGAAAAAATATAAATTATTCTGCTCAATAGATATGTTGAGGTTCTTTCAAGGATATGAAGAAGTATTCATCCAAGAAGCCATTTTATACAGAAAACAAACACTGTTTCTGGATCCTTAGAAACAAACATCCAGTGGTTACGGGTTGGTCACAGAAAGAAAACTGTGATAGAAGAGGACTTCCTTGCATAACTAATTGCCAATTCAATGTGCATGTCTGTTTCGTGAGCCATAAATCAAGCTCATGGATTTGAAGAACTCCAATGACTTTGTCTTCGTTTATAGGCAGAGATCAATCAAGAACAGGATTATTTTTCTTCACTTCTTGTCAAAGACACATTGGAGATGGCAGGAAGACTATGAACGAAGTAGATTGCCAAAGTTAATTCAGAACTTAATGTTGTTTCATCAGCCAAAGCCGTGATGCTCTTCATTTGCAATTGCAGAGGAAAATAACCTGGCCAAGAAACCAACAGATGCATCACAAGGACGGTAGTTCCAATAGATGCACACCTTTCAAAATTATTCCATTAAAAGATAGTTCGTTATTCTTGACAAATCATAGCAAGAAAGTTGCAATATCTTGGAAGCTCAGGCATTAATAATTCCAAACACAATATTGGAACCAAGGAGCAAAGGCTGAATTGCTAACCTCCCAAGTTCAGTAACAATGGGACAAGAGGTTATTATGACAAAGCATCACATATGCCGGCTCCCATATGAGTGAAGTTGCTTCAGTAATAAGAAATTTGTTCCCGATCTACAGGGCATCTCTTCTTACTATGGGGTGTTTCAATTCAATCATGAAGCTCTGAGAATGCAATAATTGGTAAGGCTAATCCCAGACGCAGTAAAAACCTCGCTCTGAGGATTTATCCAGTTCCACTTTTCTTTTCCCTACAAAAATTTCTTTTTAAATGAGTGCATATAGGTATGTGAAATCAATGAAAGAAATTAGGGCAAGAAAACATTAAGGTATTGCTGGCTCCCTTTTTCCCTTGATCAGATAAATCGAGTTCAATGTCCATACAAAGGCATTATATGTGCATGAATGTGTCAAAATGCTAATCAATCAATGCCTCATATTCCCAGATTAATCTTGTCGATAGAGACATTCATGTAGTGAAAGCTTTCATTTCTGAATCAGCCAAATTTATGTGAAAGGAATTTGTAAGGACTACACTTTGGCTCAAGCCTATGAAACCCCTTAAGATTTTTCTTCCCTTCTACCAAACAATATTACCACAAAGTATTTCTTCAACTTCTTGGTCATTGTTGCAACCCTAAAGAAACCAGTCTTACCTTCAGAGGGAAAGACCATTACCAAAAGCCAGCTTGGTTCTATCGTCTCTCCACTAGCCGACTCAAAGCATACCCACTAAATACCTAAGACCTCTAAAATACTCCTCCAACACCCAAGGGCTAAAATATTAAGGTTTGGGACTCTCCGTCCCTGTCCTCGGTTTAGGGTTCAGAGGGAAAGACCCTCACCAAAAGAGCCACCTTGGCTCTTGTCTTTCCACTAACCGACTCAAAGCACACCAACTACATACCTAAGACCTCGCAAATACTCCTCCAGCACCCAAGGGCCAAAATATTTAAGGTTTGAGACCTTGCGTTCCTGTTCTCGGTTTACAGTCCAGAGGAAAAGACCCTCACCAAATGAGCCACCTTGGCTCTCTCATCTCTCAACTAACCGACTCAAAGCATACTCACTAAATACCTAAGACATCACAAATGCTCCTCCAACACCCAAGGGCCAATACAATTACAGGTTTGAGACTTTTCATCCCTACTCTCGGTTTAGGGTTAAGAGGGAAAGACCCTCACCACGAGCCACCTTGGCTCTCACGTCTCCACACTAACCAACTCAAAGCATACCTACTAAATACCTAAGACCTCACAAATATTACTCCTCCAACACCCAAGGGCCAAAATATATAAGGTTTGAGACTTTTCGTCCCTGTTCTCGATTTAGGTTCAGAGGGAAAGACCCTCACCAAATGAGCCACCTTGGCTCTCCCGTCTCTCCACTAACCAACTCAAAGCATACCCACTAAATACCTAAGACCACAGATATATTGCTCCTCCAACACCCATGGGCAAAAAAATTAAGGTTTGAGACTTTTTGTCCATGTTCTCAACATTTTCTAAAGTGAAAAAAGCAATGTGATGTAGGATTGCATTCTTGAGCTTCCAACTATCTTTTTTTTAAAAAATAAATCAAATAAATAAGGATTCATATATGTTCAGTACCAAATAAAACCAATATTTGCTAGCTGTAGTGCAGGAAATTACACATGTTTAATGTCAAAGTTCATATCTCCCCCAGCCTAGTGTTAATCGACACATATTTATCAAACGTGTTGATGTTATCATGCATCTGACTTGGCATGAGGGACAGAGCTACAGAAAGTAAAAAACAATACATTGTCACATGTCCAGCCGTCATTCCAAGAGGGATAAGGGAAATTTCACACCTAGAACCTTACTACACCTACAGTAAATATGAAGTGCAAACCTCAATATATAGGTACAAACACCCTATTGAAACAAAATTTTATTTTGTCGAGGTATTCGACTCATTAGGACTAAAGATGCATGCAAGAAGAGTGCAAATGAGTGGAGACTAGTTGATATGGTCTCAGACAAGCGTGTAAGTGACCCTCACTTCATGCTGGATCTCAGCTCATCCGGAATGACAAAGCTCAAGCTCTCTTTTTACTTCATGAGTTTTTAAACAATCCAGTTTAAGCTTGAGCTTGAATATAAGATTGAAATAGGGGAAAATAAAAAAACAAAGAACTCAAATTTGGAAAGGTAATTTGACACACACACACACATTTATGTATACATAACGAATAATGAGAATCAAAGATTTATTACGCTACAATCTAAAACCCCAAACAAGCTCCAGACGTGATTATTCTTTTTTACTACTGATGATTTAATCATCCATTGCATTATATAAGAATTATGTTTAATTCTAAAATTTTGACTGGAATATCCGAATACTTTTCTAATGCATGTCAAAGTGACAATACGAACGAACATCATTTCATACTAGCAAAATAGGTTTTCACTTAGTTAGCCAACAGAGTAGAAAGTAACTTGTCCTTAATTTACCAGATTTGAGAAAGACTGCCTTCACCATGAAATGCATGCGAAAGTCTACATGTAGTCATTTCTCAATACATTGTCCTTTTTCTTTGTTCGGCGCCACTTAATACATGTAACCATTACAATGGGACTTTTTCTCTATATTATGCAAAGAGTGAAGAAAGGGAAACATAAAGAAGATAAAACTGACTCAGAAGATGAAAGACCGATAAAAAAAACTATACGTCAATAGATGGACACAATTATTCATTCAATAGTCTCATACAAGAAAAATGGTAGTGCAAATCTGAAATGGTTACTTCACCGAACTACATAATATAACGTCCAAATAGGCGTTACATATAAGAAGCTTTAGCTGTTGGTTGCAATCAAAAGATGTTATGAGTAAGAATATTCTCATAGGTTAATATAAGCTCATAATTTTTCTTGCACATTATCATTAGTACATGAACAAAAGTTTGTGATCGTTACAACCCATAATATTATACAAATGAGATTATTGCTTTAATTGTACTGAAATTTCCAGTTTCGAATTCAAATTTGTTCATTCCAATAGTTATGACTAAAGATGGTCCTTTTTTACTTCCTAGATATGGCAAAGGGAAGCAGCAATGTTGAGGCAACAACTTCAAAACTTGCAAGAAAGCCATAGGTATTATGATTTTCATTTCTATCATAAAAACGTTGTAGCATATTATAATGGAGACACACTATCATTAGCAAAAGACAATGCACGAGAAATAAAAAGTTAAAATTTCACAATGCAATTAGGATATTTTGTGTCATTTACACTATAACTACAAGGCCTTTCCCTTAGATATGAGAAGTTAACGTGCAAGTGTCTAAACACCATTGTCTGACTCCCTTATGGAACTTTTTCTTTAATCGATGCGACAATAGACTAAACTTAGCAACTAGAGAATAACTAGAAATCCACAAGATTTATACTAGTTCGGCATAACCTTTGCTTACGTCCAGTTGTGATTTCTGTAGGTAGAGAAACCATGGCTTCTTTGATTAATAATAGAGTATACAATACTTTTGCAAACACTAGAACTAATCCCTCTCTTCTGTAAGCTGTCTCTCTGTTTACTGCTTGCTTTTCAACCCTTGCTACACCTTATTTATAAGTATAGGGTGCGATTTACACTCCTATAATCTGATTAGGTCACCAAATCTACTTGGGATAGGAAAGCACCCTTCATTCCTATTCCGCTTCTTCTTTTAGGATTCCTAATTTAATTGTACAAGAAAACTTATTCTTTCATAATCCTTAATCTTGTAAGACAAGAATCTGTGCACCTTAGCTTTCCTAATACAATCCTAATCAAAATAGGAGTATAACAAAAGACAAACCAAATGCTAACAATCTCCACCTTGGAGAGCCGAACCAAGTCTTGACTATTGCAACCCAGAGTATCTTCGAAGCTTCTTTAAGCAATTTTAGAATCTTCAAGAACCTTCACCTTGGAAAACTTCTTCTCGCCTCATTGCACCTTAAGTGAGAAGGTGCTCCACCCCAAGCAATCAACAAGATTGATCAAGTTCAAGCAATGTTTGAATTTCTTGGCCAGCACTATCTTTGTAGTGGAATCTGTGGCATTGTCGTTCGTGTTAAGTTTTTTAACCCAAATCTCCATGGACTCCCCCCAATTCCAGATTCTGTGATACCTCACTTCATTGTGCTTTGATCTTCTATGAAAAACCTGATTTTTAACTAAGTGAATGGTGCTTTGACTGTCACATTTCAGCTTCAAGTAATATTATGGCTTCCCAAGCCACTAAGCCAAATTGCCTCCTTTCTTAACTCTACTTCAGTGGTTGACAAAACTGTAAGAGGTTGTAGTAGTGCCCTCCAACTGATTGGTCCTCCTGCGCATGTAAAGAGATAACTAGAAGTTGACCTTCTCTTATCTAAGTCCTCAGCATAGTCTGCATCAACATATCCCAACACCAGATTCTGTGATACCTCACTTCATTGTGCTTTGATCTTCTATGAAAAATTTGATTTTTTGACAAGTGAATGGTGCTTTGACTGTCACATTTCAGCTTCACATAATATTGAGTGATTCTCAGTTGGCTTGCCAAGCCACTAAACCAAATTTCTTCCTTTCTTAACTCTACTTTAGCGGTCGACAAAATTGTAAGAGGTTGCAGTAGTGCCCTCTAACTGATTGGTCCTCCTGCGCATGTAAAGAGATAACCAGAAGTTCACCTTCTCCTGTCTAAGTCCTCAGCATAGTCAGCATCATCATATCCCAACACCCTAAAGCCTAATGTTACCGAAAGAACCTCCCCCGTAACTCTCTTCTTCAATGATAGTACTAGCTAAACTTGAGCTACCTTCCATTTTAGCTTTCTCGCCCTTCCAAATCTTGCAGTTCCTCTTCCAATGATTGGTAGAACCACATTCGAAAAAACTCCCTTCTTTTCCTTTTTCTTCTTGGATTTCGACCTACTCATGTTGTTGTTCTTCTCTGCCTTCGTCTTTTCCCGACCTTTCTCCTTGCCTTTGGCATAAAGATCTTGAGAGCTTTCACTTTCAGTTATATCCTCCAGTTTAACATATGACTGAAGTGCTTGAATTACGTCCTCAAGCTACAGGAACTATTTCCAAACATTAAAGTTGTTCGAAAGTACTTGCATGACGAGGGTAGAGACCTTAGCAAGATGATAGCCATATCATCATCTTTGTTGGTTTCTTCGACCTTCTGAAGATTGGCTATGCAATTCTGGAACCTGCATACATGATGTTTAATATTACGTCTTCTTCAAGTCGAAGCCCGAATAGTTCATCCTTGAGAAACAGTTTATTGTACACTGTTTTGCTCATATAAACCTTCTCCAACATGTCCCATGCTTTAGCAGTCATCATTTCTATGACGTGGGACCAGACTGATTTCCTGAGGTGAATCCCGATAGAACTGTTGGCCTTCTTGAGAATCTTGGTCCATGTTGCTTGTCATGGTCTTAGGCTTCTTACTAAGGAGTGTATCATCCAACTCCTGCTATGTCAGTACACTCTTCTAATCCTTTCACAGTTTGTGAAGTTATCCTTGCCATCAAAATGTTTTAACGCATGCCTTAAGCTTCCTAGGAGCATGAACTTCTTCGTCTTGCCATCGCAGAACACCTTGAACCAAGCTCTTGATACCAATTGTTGTTATTCTAAATAGGGAACTTGTTCTTGGATGTATAACGCAATAGAGTAAACTTAGCAAAAGAGAATAACTAGAAACATACAATATTTATATTGGTTCTGCAAAACTTTTACCTACATCTAGTTGTGATTTCTCTAGGTAGAGAAACCGCAGTTTCTTTGATTAAAAATAGAGTATACCGTACCGTTGCAAACACTAAAACTAATCCATCTCTTCTCTCGGCTCTCTGTGTTTTCTGCTTGCTCTCAAACACTTCCACACTCTATTTATAAGTATAAGGTGCGCTTTACACTCCTCTAATCTGATTAGGTCTCCTAACCTATTTGGGATAGGAAAGCACACTTGCATTCCTATTCCGTTTCTGCTTTTAGGATTCTAATCTAATTGTACAAGAAAACTTATTCTCTCCTAATCCTTGTAGGACAGAATGGGTGCACCTTAGATTTTCTATAATCCTGAACAAAATAGGACTATAACAAAGGACGAACCAAATCCTAACAAAAATTACATACTAAGTAAGGTGACAGTGACTGACCAACTAGAGTGGGTTAAGTTTTAAGTGATGAGAACCTGAGAGTTTGGTTGGTTGGAAACTTAGAGGGCGAACCTAGATTGAGGCCCTTGCAAAATCCAAAATGAATTTTTGGCAACCGAAATTATTGCTTTTGTTTTGAAGTTTAAATAGAAACCCCACGAGAAAATTAAAATAAAGGAATTGGAGCACAGCGGCTAGGGCTTTTGCTCTTCCTAATTGTTGTTTTGAATCTCTTTTTCTATATAGTCTGTATTTAACAGAACATGCGAAAAGTAAAAGCGCAAGAGCTCGGGCTCGGACCTACTCCCTACAGGAAAACAAACAAGCTAGTCACAAACAGCTAGAGCTAGGGGCATAGTTTGTTATTCTACTGCAAGCTATGATATATATTATGCAAGTACATGAGAGACAAAATTGGGGGCCCTCCAAAACTGAAGCCTACGCAATGGCACCATAACCATGCGTATGATTTTATTCTAGGACAAACAAGTACAGAATCTATCTTGTTACTTAAGGGACTCGTGAAATAGCTCAAAAGGGAAAAAAGAATGATCTTATGTCAGTCATTGAACTCCGGCAGAGTCATTTCTTAACAGTGAATGGACTGCGTTGAACCAATTGGCATTTTCCATGATTTTATACCAGATGCTAGATTATGAGGGCTTGACAAATCTTCATAACAAGCTATAGAATTTTCCCTAGGAAGTGACATTGTTTATACTCATACAAGATAGTCTACACTGCAACCTACGGGAAGAGGACAATCCAATGCTTAAATAATGGATTAGGTATAGGTGAAAATTAAGCGATTATCTAGGATAAGGATGTTTGGCATCAAACGGAATTGCTATGCATCTCATAAATCCACCTCACTATTGGATTTAAGATGTCCAAAGTCCATGTTTAGGGCCTAAATAATGCTTTTGTCTCAATGACTACAGGCAAATGATGGGAGAAGAACTTTCTGGTCTAAATGTGAAAGACTTACAAAATCTGGAGAACCAATTGGAAATGAGTCTTCGGAGTGTCCGAATAAAAAAGGTACGAGCAGTCACTCAATTTCTGAAAATCATCTATTTACATAATGTCTTCCATGGTGCTAAATCACTTTTGACTTCTGTAGGACCAACTTTTAATGGATGAAATAGAAGAACTAAACCGAAAGGTTAAAATCTTCCAAACTTTGGTACTACTTTTCAGTCTTTTCCTCTTTATGACTTAAGGAGCTAAATGTTAAAGTCTGTGTGCAGAGGAACCTCATTCACCATGAAAATGTCGAACTGTATAAGAAGGTAAACCTAATTCATCAAGAAAACGTGGAGTTATCTAAGAAGGTACTGGTTTTGAAACTAAATAAACTTCAACTATCCAAGAAAGAGTAATAAAAATCTATAATCCAACCTACAAAAAATTGCAACATTTTTTCCGCAACACCTTAACAGAAGTTTCACATCCCAGGTTTATGGAACAAGGAATGTAAATGACACAAGTCGAAACACTCTTCTGACAAATGGTCAAGGTATTGAAGAGGACTCAAATGTACCTGTCCGTCTCCAGCTTAGCCAGCCACAGCAGCAAAGCTACGAGCCACCAGCAAGGGCAACAAATCTGGGGTATACCTTCTTCCTAAAACTACACTGTCCATTATGATTACCACTTTCAATTTTCTATTTATTGATCACACTGTTTTATGATGACTACAGCAGACTACAATTACACTAGCAAAGAAGATGCATCATATTAGGATAATGTTATTTTATTTCTCAAGAACAAGGCTGATGGATTCAAATTCATGTTCTATCACACTAGTGGTAAAAGAGCTGCAGAACAATCCACAAAAGGACCTTGATTTGAAAACAATGATTTGATGTGTGTATGACAATCAATGAAACCAGCTACATATGTAAAGATGAGATCAATATATAATAAAGAATAATTGACTTGCAATTCACGTGCAGCGCAACTTTTAGAAATCTCTTAGTCTATCAGCATCTATGAAACAAACTTTCTCTGAAACATATTGCAATGTTTATATGCATGTCATCAATTTTTGTACACAAAACATGTGAACACCAGCACTTGGTTTGAAAAAAGATGAAAATATAAATGGAAAGAAGCAAAACCGTTCGACTTACTGCATTAAAGTTCAGTCCATTTAAGTATTGAATTTCACAAAATGGTGTATGCGGTATTTACCTTCTTGTCCACGCAGTCTGATATTACATAGAAGGCATCTACAATGATTTGCCGTCCTGACTGCAATATAATGTTCAGCATGGAAGTAACCGGTAGTTAAGCACACTAAGCAAAATCAAGCCATGTACTAATTCATTGAAACAATCATTAAATGTACACAGAATTCTCTAATACAATAATAAAAAAAAACCTCTAGGACATCTAATTAAATAAATTCAAACCAGTTGGAAAGAAAATCATGCATAGTCGAATCGACGTAAAATTATAAAAATGCTGGTTATGATCACATGTAGATTCTGGACCATTTCTGGTAAAAAGAACATAAAACATGTGAGTACAATGCAGTGCAATCCACAAATATTAGGCCTCCGGGACTATGAAGAAGTATCTTGTATCAAATTAGGACTAGTAGACTATACATGCCCAGCTTCGAGACTTCGGAATATCCCATGCCACTCTATGGTATTTGTTTTCATAGACAGTTCTAATTAAGTTAACCATAGCCAGATCCATGTTTCCAAGTTTACAGATTCATGCACCAAACAATAAACAACAGAAATGGATAAAGTTACAAGAGATTGCAAGGAAAGGATCAGAAACATGTTCAAATAAAAATTCTTGGTCTTCAAATGATTCTGAGCCATTTCATTTTTTTGTAAAATAATATGCAATTCAACTCCTGTCAGACCAATGGATTATAAAGAGAAAGGAAAAGTATGATAACAGTTTGAGCATTTTCAAGCATAACTCCAGAACTCAATCTTAATGGCTATTTCTTAAAACAACAAAAATAAATAAATTAGATATAAAAAAAGGAACCACGAACATCTGACAATATGTTTTATTTGCCACTATATCTCAATGGATTTTTTTTTTTTTGCGTCAAATATCTCAATGGCTATTTCAAGAGAAGCAAAATGCACGTTTAATAATACAACAGTCAATGGTATAATTTCATGTTGCTTCCTGAAACAATAATAGTACTTTGAAGGACAAAACAATATTCCAAGATAAGACAGTATTTTAGCAGGAAAAAAATAATGCATTCAACAAAATTGAAGCATATGCTGTTGTATTTGGCAAGAGTCAATAGGACTTTGAAAGCTAAAATCTTCCACAAAAGAAATAGCTGTTCAATGCCCTGCAGATAGAACAAGAACGAAATTACCAGAGGTGGGTAACATTGTAGTGTCAGCCAAGGACTCTTCAATGCTCACAATCACTGAAATTGGTTCAGAAAGCAAGAAAAGAGTGTGCAAAGCAAAAACTGTTAACTCAAATTGACTTTTGAACTTCAAAAATGTGGTCCAAAAGAGTTGTCTATGATGTGATCCACTTCTTCGCGAATATATGAAGGCTTAAAGGAGAGGAGATTATGATGATCTGTAATCATATATTGGCAATGTGTTGAGAAGACTTGGGATATGTAAATAAGGCAACGAAATTCAAATGTCAACTTGAACAACTACAACTATTCGTGGAGGAAAGCTTGTATTGTGATACTCTGAATCCAACATCAGCCATGCATGCTTTGAGGAGGTCTAAGTTACTCAAGAAAAGCCTATGAAATCCAATATTAACTTAAGCTTCAGAAGGCCTTAAATGGTACCTTTTACCAAAGGTGACAGAGATCCGTAAGCAGGTAAGAAGTGGCATCACACATCGGATAGGCTCGTCCACTTATAAATGTTATGTGTATGCTTCCTATCTTAGTGAGGACACAGGCCTAACTTTTGGGGAGGGGTAATCTTGAATCGTACTTCATGTATGACATGGGAAAGTATGTGATACTGAACCATGATCTATGAATCCAAATGTCAACTTGTGGTATGCATTATTGGAGACCTAAGATCATCATAGAGTCGATCTACACAAACCCGGGCAAGACCGAACATGAATGCTCATATTTGGCTTGTCCGGTTTCTCTTTTAGTAAATAACCTTCTTGGATACACTAAACTGTTGAGAATATCGCGTTTAAGAATGAGAAAAAGAAGAACAAACTCCGGAAATCGAAAACAAATAACCAAGATAAATAACACCAAGAATTTAAGTGGTTCGGCAGTATGTGCCTACGTCCACAATACAGCAACAACAATTTTTCACTATATCAATAATGAGTACAACCAATAATCTTGCCAAATCTCTAGAACTAGGACTTGACGAAAAACTTGGAAGGAACAAGAACAAGAAATACACTATCTCTTTTCTTTTCTCTCACACACACTTTACAATATTCTCTCACTCTAATCCCTAGAGTGGTATACAATTTATTGTTTTGCTCCCTCTCCTCAAAAATAGTACAATAGCCCCTTTATATAGACATAATAAAGGTCTTCTTCAATAAGGATTACTAATCCTAACTGGAATCTAGTTATGAATCCTTCTTCAATCGAGAAACTAACTCCAATTGGGAAAATGACTCCAATTGGGAAAACAACTCCAATTGGGAAAACAATTTAATCATCTAAGACTATAATTCCTTATAGACTTAGGACAACTTATCATGGGCTCGAAAAAACCCAACAATCTCCCCCTCCAGACCATGAGGAAGGTATACCGAAATAGGATTGCTCCTCTTGACCAAACTCCCATTGATCGAATTTTTCATGACCAAACTCCCCCTGATCGAATTACCCATAACCAAGCTACCCCTGATCGAACTACTCATTAACCAAGACTCTCTTGATTAGACTTCTCTTGACCAGGCTCCCCCTGATCGCAATACCCACCATCATTGGCAAAGGCAATTATAGACTTCTTTGCCAGAAAACATCGCTTATTGTCATCTTGGTCTAATCAGCATCAGTCATACTTGCTGGCTTGCTCTTAACAACTCAGTAAAGCATGTCCTCCTCTTGATTTCCACGTAACCCAATTAAAGCGGGTTGCACCCTCCATTCTAAATGGATATCAGCCAAATCAAGCTCTGATACCACTTGTTGAGAATATCGCGTTTAGGAATGGGAAAAAGAAGAACAAACTCTGGAAATCGAAAATAAATAACCAAGATAAATAACACCAAGAATTTACGTGGTTCAGCAGTATGTGCCTACATCCACTGGACAGCAACAACAATCTTTCACTATATCAATAATAAGTACAACCAATAATCTTGCCAAATCTCTAGAACTAGGACTTGACAAAAAACCTGAAAGAACAAGAACAAGAAATACACTATCTCTTTTCTTTTCTCTCACACACACTTTACAATATTCTCGCACTCTAATCCCTAGAGTGGTATACAATTTATTGTTTTGCTCCCTCTCCTCAAAACTAGTACAATAGCCCCTTTATATAGACATAATAAAGGTCTTCTTCAATAAGGATTACTAATCCTAACTGGAATCTAGTTATGAATCCTTCTTCAATCGAGAAACTAACTCCAATTGGGAAAACAATTTAATCCTCCAAGACTATAATTCCTTATAGACTTAGGACAACTTATCATGGGCTCGAAAAAACCCAACATAAACCACTGGACGCCCTAAGCTTATAATTATAGGTCTCATTTGCTTGGGGACTAAAGACTTGAAAGTGGGCATAGGATTCAATTCCCATGTTTAGTAAGCACATACTTGGGGATGTGAGGCCCTTTAGAGAACTTCCATGTAGGAAGACCCCATTAGGCAATAGGCAACTCAAACCCCTTAATGAACAGTAACTTCCTGCAATGAACAGTAACTACCCAAGTGCATCTTCACCGCTAAACTGAATACCCAAGGCAATTCTTAAAATATTAGTATTTTTTATTTTTATAAATAATAAAAGATAACTTTATTTTTAATTTTGAATAATAATAAAAGATTGGTTAAAAGTATATGAAAATATTGAAATGTAGTGTAAAGTGGAAGAACATGGTTAGGTATTTATAGAAAAAACTATAATTTTTTATATTTTTAATTATTTTTTTTATAATATATTATAATTTTTGAATAATTTAAATTGTGACTGACGTCATGATGACGGCACATAGGCTGGGCGTTGGGCTAGGCAATTATTGTCTGACTTCTCTGTTAGGCTCGCCTTGGGTCCAATTGCTCGAGTGGAGTGGAGTGTTTTGGGATAGGGGAGAGAGTGGATTGGGTTGCCTTTCCCCAAGGCAATAAGCAACAGTGGAGTTGCTCTTACATGGGTATCCATAACCATTATGGGGAGAAACTAAAACTCTTGGGCCTCTAAGGTGTCTTGGAAATGCATTTATTGTGTTTCTTATGATTAAACTACCCTTATAATAGATTAAAAATACTTTTTTCCCCTTAAAATTTTTGGTTTTTTTTTTATAAGGGTATTAATATTATTGAAAATTTAAACAAATATTTAGTTGTCCTATTTCACAAATCGAGCCTTGGAACAAGAATCAAAGGCCTTATTGATTATCAAATTATTACTTCCAAACAAATACTTGAAAGGGGCAACAGAAATGAGCCAACAATGTATATTAAGCAAGACTTTTAAGCAATTTTTTTTTTAAGTTATGAGAATAGTTTGAGTAGATAATTTCAAAATTTAGGCGCAAATAACAATCAAATCTATATCTTTCAGAATCAAGCTCAACTTAATTCAATTTAAAGGTCATTAGCACAAACTGTCATGCTAATCTACATATGGTGATAACCACCCACCACATAAAGTTTAATTGAAACTGATAAAACTTCTGGATCCTTAACTCCACAAGCTGCCAAATGAAGACACATAAAGAGAACATGGAGTAAATCAAAACACAAAAAGAAATTTTCACATCACTGATAATTAAGAGTCTTCTCCCATGTGAAAGCTACACTTTCAGTAATTGCTTCTTCACAAGATTTAAAATATCAATGTTTTTATTCTCAAGGACTTTTTACAAATATAAGATCAAGGTCAACCGCTTCTAAGTAAAAAGATGTTTCCAATTTTTCACAATATCAACTCAATATATGCCATCACCATAACAAAACGTCCTCATTTCAGCCATTAGCACCACGTTCATCTAACTATAAAATCATCATTTTTATCACCACCTCATAAGTCTAAGGACGCTAACATAACCGCTGCAACAACACTAGTACATACTAGGTTCCACCAATGAACTAATGCGATTGTACTACTAAAATCATCATGCCACCACCTCTTGGTTATACAATCCGCCACTATTACCACAACCATGCAATTGAAACAAGCATCACACGTGCCATCATTGACAGCAGCACTACTACTACAGCCTGCCAGGCCACATGTACCTAGTTTATCTGATTGTTAATATAACTATCTGACAAACGTTATCAAGAAAATATGAAGGCCTAGATGCCTCCTGAAGGCTAGAAAAAGGCTTCATTATAGGCGTTTTCTACTAACTTTCATTAATGGATGCACATTTAGAACATACATTCGTAATGTTCTAAAGTTATCGTCTAATATAGATCATGAATGTAAGTTCATAATGCATAGCAACTGTTAATAAGGATGAACATTACATAACGTATGTTAAAGCTATGATTGAACATCAGACATTCCTAATGTTCAGACAAACACACTTAACATGTATCTTGAGTTGTTATCATAATAACAAGAGGTTTATAATTGGTTTGAGGGTTAACCCATAAAGCATATCCGTACTAATATACTATACAAGCTACTTTGGTACTTGTACAAGATTGCATACACTAATGCCTACTTATGAGCATATCATGAAATAAAGCGAGATTGTGAAGCCTATACGTTTAGTAAGCAGACCCTTGAGAATGTGATGCCTTTTACATGGGCATCCGTAACCATTAAAGGGAGAAACTGAAACTCTAGGGCCTCTTGGGTATATGCTTTTCCCATGTCTTGGAAATGCATTTATTGTGTTCCTTATGATTAAACTGCCCTTATAATAGATTAAAAATATATTTTCCCCTTAAAAATTTTGGTTTTTTATAAGGTTAAATATTATTGAAATTTTAAGCAAATATTTAGTCCTATTATTTCACAAACTGAGATTGGAACAAGAATCATAGGCTGTATTTGGTTATCAAATTATCACTTCCCAGTAAACACTTGAAAGGAGGGCAATAGAAAATAAGCCAACAATGTATACTAAGCAAGACTTAAGTAATTTTTTGAAGTTATGAGAATAGTTTGAGTATATAACTTCAAAATTTAGGCGCAAATAACAATCAAATATCTTTCAGAATCAAGCTCAACTCAATTCAAATTATAGGTTCATTTGCACAAACTATCATGCTAATCTACATATGGTGATAACCACCCACCACACAGCTTAATTGAACTTGATGAAGACACGTAAAGAGAAAAAGGAGAAAATCAAAACACAAAAGAAACTTTCAGTAATTGTTTCTTTACAAGATTTAAAATTCAATTTTTTTTTTATTCTCAAGGACCTTTTACAGATATAAGATCAAGGTCAACCACTTCTAAGTAAGAAGATGTTTTGAATTATTCACGATATCAACTCAATATATGCCATCACCCTAACAAAACATCACATTTCGGCCATTAGCACCACGTACATCTAACTATAAAATCATCACTTTATCACCACCTCAACTGTAACTGTAAGGACACTAACATAACCACTGCAATGACACTAGTGCACTAGTCGGTTACACCAACGAACTAATGCGATTGTACCACTAAAATCATCATGTCACCACCTTATACAATCCGCCACCATTACCACAACAATTCAATTGAAACCAACATCACCACTTGCGATTGTTGACACCAGCAGTACTACTACCTCCTGCCAGGCCACATGTACCTAGTTCATCTGATGGTTGATGATAACTATCTGACAAACTTTATTAAGAAAATATGAAAGCCTAGATACCTCCTGAAGGCTAGAAAAGGGCTTATTTTTAGGCGTATTCTACTAACTTCAATTAATGGATGCACATTTAGAACGTAAATTCATAATGTTTTAAAGTAATCATCTAATATGGATCGTTAATATAAGTTCCTAATGCATTGCAACTGTTAATAAGGATGAACATTACGTAGCATATTTTAAAGCTATGATTGAACATCAGACATTCCTAATTTAGACCATGAACTCGATGCACTGCAGCAGACAAACACGCTAACAAGTGGAGTGTTATTCTGATAAACACACATAACTGAACAAATCTTGAATCGTTATCATAATAACAAGAGTTTTAATTGGTTCGAGGGTTAACCCATAAAGCATTGGTACTACTAGACTATAGTACTTGTACAAGATTGCATACAGTAATGGCTACTCATCGGCATATCATGAAATAAAGAGAAACTGTGAAGCCTATATGTTCCAAGAAATGGAACCACAGATCGAGTCGACAAAATCAGTAGCAACTACTACCTCGATTTGTCAACTATATACCCTATAAATCATAGAGATAACACTTATAAGAAATGATGGATCACAGACAGCCTAATAAAAGCTAGAAACTAAACCGAAACGTGTAACACATAACATGAATTTAACATAATTACGAGAAGGGAAAAATACAGGTGCATTGAACAAGGTAAAGTTTAAATTAAAGTTAAAGTGATCAAAGCAGTGACTAAACCAAATTAAAAGCAATTAGTGGAACACTGTACAATTTACGGCAACTATAAAAAGCAAAGATGGCCGATCCAAACAAAAGCATGAACAGTAGTAAAATCTTGTACCTGAATTGCCAAGTGCAGGCGTGCATCTGTATCCAAAACAAAACCACTGTTCCTCGATAATAATATTATTTTCTGAAAATTAACATTCCAAAGCAAAATTACAAGTATTTAAACAAGGCATAAACCACTACTGTAAGATATAAATATAGATTATAAACTAGTGGCAGTGAACATATATATTTTCTCAAATTTTGCAATATACATACATACATATATTTATATCTAACAAGCTCAATGCGCAATTCACAGTAACATATAAATCATCTTAAAAGTTGAAGACGTAGGGCTTACGGTAAGTTGATTATAACGCTATACTCGCTTCTCAGTTCCATTTTAGCTTATTCTCGAACTTTCTCATGGTTTTCTTGGCAGCCAAACAGACGGTTCGCCGTGGAAGACGAACGGATATTCGTCAAGAAACGGAAAAATTACACCTCGGAAGAGGTAGAGGATATGGAATAGAGCAGGAGAAGGAGAATGCAGGCCGAGAAACGCGGTGATTTAAGGGAATAGCGAGGTCGGTGGAATCCATTGGAGAATCGGACGGAGAAAGGGGACGAACGGAGGAGTAGGAGATCTGCTTCGATGGAGGAGAAAGGGCAGAGCGCGGATGCCTGACGACTAAGAAGAAGAAGAAGGTGAGAGTCGTGTGACGAGAGAGTTGGATGAAAAATATCTGAGAGGGAAACGAATTAAAAAAGGAGAGGGGAAATGATGGTGGGGGAGACCCTGAGAGGAAGCGAGCGCTGGTGGGGGCTATGGAGGTCTATGATGCCCCCACTCGATCTAACACGTAATGCCCTTTTCTTTTTTATTTACCTCTTTCATTTGCTGATTCTCTAGTAAAATATTATTAGATAAATCTAGGGTTTCGGCTTCTCCCAAGCTGCTTTCTGAAAACGGAGGAGCCTTGGAGGCAGACCGGTTTCTGCTTCACCAAAAACCAGCAGCTATAATCTATTGGCTCGGCCCACCTTGAACTCGGAGCAACTTTCATAAAGTTGAACCATGGCTATGATTATCTGTTATTTCGATTTAATAATATAATGTCATGAAGAAAAAGATGTATTATTTAATTAAATATATTACGGTTTTGTAAACTCAATTCATATAAGTTACTCTATTGAATTCTGATGCTTATTATTAGAGGTTGGCATTGTTTGAAATGGTTCAGTATGTCGACGTTGAAACCAAAATTTCTAACAATTCATGTATTAAGCTTTTTTAAATATGTGTTCGAATCTTGCTGTTATCAATGGATTTCAGTTTGGTTTGGAGCCATTTCAAGATGGGTCTGAATCAACCTAGCATTCATGCTCCGACTTGAGAGGGTGTTACAAAAATATCGATTAAACTATTAATTCAACTCCTAATTTCAAAGTAGCTTTGATTTTCTTCTCGACAAAATCTGATGATCGACGGTGGTGGTGCTATAAGGTTGGTGGTTGTGGTGGGAGGTGATGGGAGGTGGTGGCAGTGGCGGTGGTGGTATATAAGGTTAGTGGTTGCAGTGGGAAGTGGTGGTAGTCATTTTGTTATCCAATGGGTAATATACATGTAGAAGAATAAATAATGTCATTTCTTTTTTGAACAAATACGGTCATTTTTAAATATTAATGATTGTATTAAATAAATTAAAAATATTCATTAACATTATGTTTGGATGAGAGAAATACACTTGAAATTTGAATAAAAGTTAGAATTTATAAATTGACATACACTAATTCCCTTGTTTGGATTGATAAACATATTAATTTAGAATTTCGGAAAAAAAAAAAACTTGGAATTTGAGATCTCCAATTCCTAAGTTTAAATTCCATATAAATAGGTGTTATTTCCCAATTTCTATGATTGAGAGTTTAAAAATAACAAATTCTGTATTCAATTCCATTATTCTTTTAGGTTAACCAAATAAGAAAATTCACAAATACTAAAAAATAAAATCCTGTCATTTTAAAATTCCTTAGTAATCTTAAATTTCTTCATCCAAACATAGTGTAAATGTTTTTTTTTTTTTTTATAAAACCAATTTTTGAAAGCAATTTACATGATGTTTTTAAAAGCTGTTGTTTGAATACTATTTTTTAAAAATAAACAGAATATATTTTATTTTCACCAAACACTTTTTTATTATTTTCACCAAACGAAGCCTTGGCCTCACTATATGAATCAAATTTTACAACTTATCGTAGCATTTAATCTCACCATATAAATCAGTTTCTTGAGGAGATATTTTAGTTGTTGTGTATTTATCTATATGAAAATTCTATTTGAAGTCAACAATTTTTCCACTTATTTTGGATGAGCAATGCCAATTTTTACCTTAAAACGCAATTATATACATTAGGCTCAACATTTAACTAACCCACACAATGGATGAGTCATAATTTAGTATCTAATGTGTCATACAAGGGGGTCAACCCTAAGACCTCACATTTACAATAAAGGGAGAAACATTTACAAGAACACTTGTCACATAAAATGTATAATTCTATGTATTTTAATGTGTAGAAGACATGGATGACATGTCTCACTTATAGAGTATCATAGTATAGAAACCAAATATATATGTTATAGTTTATAGAGTTATTGACACTCCAAAAATCTGATAAGCACTCTATGTTTTCTATACTTAGAAAGCAAACACATTCATACGGAGTGTACAATACAATTTTGGAAGTGTCAATAATAACACCTTAAGTAAAACCGTAATACATGATGATGTTCCAAAAATTGCTCCATCTTGAGCATTTGTGAGTCATTTGAAATATCATTTTGACATTTAATTTCAAGAAGGTCTATATTGCTCAATAAAGTGACTACTTATTTGTCCACTACCACTATGTTACGTAACAAATCTAAAAAAGGGTTATGATAAAATAAACCTGTAAGAAAAATATTATAATTATTAAGAACTCAACATGACTTATCCCTATTTCCTTGTCTACTTCGGATTATGCTTTCATGTCTACAACTCAGTTTATTAGAGGGATGAGCCTAATCCGGAATACGAACCATAAAAGAAAATAACGACTAAACCGATCACAAGAAAATCAGCTATGGTACCTAATCCAAAGAGGAATCCTTCCAGCAGTATCGACTATTTTGTCCTACTTTCCTCCACAATTTATGTCACATCCCGGTCCGGGGCGGATCACTTCCCTGGCCCGCTCCACCACCGTAGCACGATATTGTCCGCTTTGGGCTTACCATTCCCTCACGGTTTTGTTCTTGGGAACTCACGAGCAACTTCCCAGTGGGTCACCCATCATGGGATTGCTCAAGCCCCCCTCTCGCTTAACTTCGGAGTTCCTACGGAACCCGAAGCCAGTGAGCTCCCAAAAGGCCTCGTGCTAGGTAGAGATGATAATATACATTTAAGGATCAGTCCCCTGGGCGATGTGGGATGTCACAATCCACCCCCCTTAGGGGCCCGACGTCCTCGTCGGCACACACGTGGCCAGGGTTAGGCTCTGATACCAAATTGTCACATCTCGGTCCGGGGCGGATCACTTCCCCGGCCCGCTCCACCACCGTAGCACGATATTGTCCGCTTTGGGCTTACCATTCCCTCACGGTTTTGTTTTTGGGAACTCACGAGCAACTTCCCAGTGGGTCACCCATCATGGGATTGCTCAAGCCCCCCTCTCGCTTAACTTCGGAGTTCCTACGGAACCCGAAGCCAGTGAGCTCCCAAAAGGCCTCGTGCTAGGTAGAGATGGGAATATACATTTAAGGATCAGTCCCCTGGGCGATGTGGGATGTCACAATTTATCAAGTGATCATGTTAGAGACATAAACAACCATAAATAATTATGAGATGATAGACTTCCAAAAGGGATAAGAGAATTCTTACTATCTATTCTTTTTTATTTTAATTAAAGAAATAATTGAAAAATAAAATAGCAAGTACAAAAATGAGTAATAACCCCTAGTTGATATTATTCCCAAATAAGCTAACCTTTCGAACTGCTGCTTAATCTATAGGCAGACAAATAGACAACCTGATGAATTGAAACATCTTAGTAGCTAGAGAAAAATCAAGCAAAATTGATTCTCGCAATAGCAACGTGCAAAATGAAAGCTACCTAAACCGTGAAAATGGGATTGTGATACAAACAGTCTCCTCTTATATTCTAAATAAAAATTTAATGTATATCAAATTTTTTTTTTTGGTTCAAATATGCATATCCTATTATTTTGTTAAAATTTACAAACAGAAAAAAATCCCACATGGTTGATAGAGGTGGATTGTTTGCCCTTCCATTTCAATACTCTTCTCATGTCCTCCTGTGATGTGTGGTCACGGTAAAACCACGTCAACATTTTATAATAATTTTTTATAGAAATAATAAAACAAAAAATAATAAGAATATAAAATATTGATATAGTTTAATCGTAATCATATAAATAAGAGGGCATAAAAAAAATATAGAAATGAGAATGCAACAATCCACCTCTACTATGGTGAGGCAAGCCGACGAGTGTGCGGAGTCTCGAGACTAGAGACACGTCGGGACAGCAATAGCATCTACCACATCACCTACGACCACACGAAAAATGATTTAATAACATGCCTGGGCAAATCGATAGCGGACACGTACCCACCTTCTAGACCTCGCGATTAATCTCATGATGCTGCATTATTCTATTCGTGTTTCGAAGCATCCGGAAGTAAAAATTGTAAACAAAACGTCTTAAAGGACGAAAGAGACTGGGGGGGCCCCACCCACTTGTCGTGGACACGTGTCGGTCCATTCATATGTCCATAATTCTGATAGTAAAATATTGTGAAAGGGACAAAGGTATCTGAGCCGCGCGGTGCAACTTGTAATCTGCTGTTGGTCTTATTCATGTTTTGTTTGTTGGTTGAAATACGACGTACCTAAACTTTGAAAGAAAGCTGACCACTATTCAAATTATTAAGCCTTAATCTGTCTACGCATGTGCTAAGAATAAAGTTGCATCAAGGTTAGGCAAACGGGTCCTGAAACTGCTGGTCAAGCCAGATTCAAGCAGTTTGAAACGGATATGAGGTAGGTTCAAATAATTAAAGACACAACAGGACGGGACGGATAGCGACACTCGTTAACTAAATCTCCACCGTTTGATTCTCACCCCAGTTTCACACATTCTTTGAGTCTTAACGACTCGAATTGCAGTAATTTCATCCCTTTTGATTCTCACCCCAGTTTCACACATTCTTTGAGTCTTAACTACTCGAATTGCAGTAATTTCATCCCTTTCTCTGGCTCCTAACTCAATCAAGCTACCTCCTCCGTTTCCATCTCTCACTTCTCTCTCCTAACTCAAGCTCTCTCTCCCTACTCCGACCACCATGCACCATAATCTCCTCTCAACTCGAGGTCCCTCCCAACTCGCGACGACAATGACCTGATGAGGACGAGCTCCTCTAGATGGATTTAAGGAACAAGCCCAACACGAAGTCAACTACAAAATAAAAAAATAAAAAATAAAAAAAATAAAAATTGTTCGTGTAGGAGAATCCAAATAAGATTCTCATGGGCTAGGTTCTGTAAATCCCTGTAGGTTTAGGTTTACTTGTACTCCAAGTCACTTGACTTGTATATATTTGTATTTTTGTGGGATCAATGTAAGCAATACAATTACAATTCTACATGATATCACTTGTTTAGGTTTCCCTTTCTTGATCAAACCCTACCATTCTCCTTCTTTCTCAAACCCTAGCCCTCCCCCAAGTTATTTTTTTCCAAAAAGTTTCCCTTTTTATTGTAACCCTTCATCTTTCTTTCACATATGGGCACTCAAGCTTCTTCCTCCTCTTCCAACATTTGACCCTCTCACTCCAGTCCTAATGTTGCTCACTTTCTGAAACTCACCAATCCCAACTACCTCATTTGTGGTCAAATGAAGCTGTTTCTGCTTGGTTACAATTTATTTGGCTACGTGGATAGCACTAATCCGGCCCCTGCCACCACTCTTTCTTCCTCTGATAATGAGTCTGCTACACCGAATTCGGCTTTTGCTACGTGGTTTCAAACTGATCAAACGGTTGTTAGCTATTTGGCTGCCACCCTTTCTGAGCCTATTTTTCACTCACTATTGGTAACAACTCCTCTAGGGTCATCTGTAAATGTATCCATGCATATTTTTCTCAAGCTTCGCTTGCTAATGCCACCAATCTCCAGTTTCAACTACAATCACTTATGAAGGGCTCCCATTCCATATCAAACTACCTTCAACATGCTAAGTTTCTCCATGACTCTCTTGCTATTATTAATGAATCCGTCTCTAATAATAATTTAGTGAGCTTTGTCTTTAAAGGTCTTGGTCCAGATTACTCAATATTTGTCGCCGCTGTAACTAATTCTCATTATTTGCCAGACTCGACTTGCGTTCTTGCCTCATGATATTTAAGGCCTAAACAAAAGTAGAGCCAGCGACCCATGCGCTTCTTAATGCCGTTCCTTGTAGCATGGCTGCAGTTCAGGCCCAACAGGCCAGGGCCCAAAGGCTGCAACGTGGACAGCAGCAGCGGGCTTACTTTCCCAACGATAACAGCAATCTATTGCCTTTCAAGTCCACGATCCTGATAACCTAAAGCTGCTCTGCAGCTGCAACAACAACCACATCACATGAACCAGAGGCGTGATGGTTTCAATCAGTGTCCATATGGCTGAGGTCGAGGCAGTTGTGGTGGAGGCTGTGGTGGTGGCCGCGATGGTTGGCAGCCTAACCAATGGGGAATCTGGTATTCTCAATGCACATCTTGATTTGTGGTGTAATTTTTGCAACTCTCCTGCCCATCACATCTTTGCTTCCCTGCACTGCCCTGCTCCTCCTTTTGTGGGCTACCATGCCTTCCCATGGTGCTGCTAATAACCCTACCTAGCACTTTGATATGGGGGCCACTCACCACATAATCAACAAGGAAACTATTCTCAATGACCCATTTTCCTACAATGGTAACGAATATGTTCTCGTTGGTGACAGAGGTTTCTCTTCCTATCACTCACAGTGGGTCTTTTTCTATTACTTTAGGTTCTCATTAGTTCAAGTTAAATAATGTCTTATATGTTCATTCTCATAAAAAAAATCTTCTCTCCTTCTTAGTTTACTAAAGAAAATTCTGTTGCAGTTACTATTCATCATTTTGGTCAAGTGACCTTTGACTTTTACACTAGTTCTTTGTTGTTTCAAGGTTGTTGTGAAGGTCATCTTTATTATGTGTCTCCATCCTGTCAGTCTACTTTCCATGTTGTCTCTTCCTCCTCGTGGCACTCCCGCCTTGGTCATCTGTCTTCTAAAGTTTTATCTAAGTCGTGTTTAGTTTCTAGGTCTCAATTAAATAAGACGTTTTGTAAGCCATGTGCACTCTCTAAGTCGCACAAATTACTTTTTTATTCCAATAAAGTATTGCACTGCTTTCGTTTTATTTGATTCATTCTGATGTTTGGATGTCCTCTACTCCGTCTATTTCCGGTTTTCATTATTGTGTCTTATTTACAGGTGATTATAGCTGTTACTCTTGGATTTTCCCTATGTGGGCCAAATTGGAAGTTTTCATGCACTTGGAATCCCTATATAATATGACATGTAATATATTTAGTTCCTCGATTAGATTTTTGCAAATGGATGGTGGTACATAATACATGAATAGTTCCTTTAAAACTTTTTGTATAACACTAGGATTGTTCACCATGTCTCATGTCCCACACTCCTGAACAAAATGACCTAGCCGAACGCAAACACCGACACATCTCCACTGTCACTCCTCTCCTTCTAAACACTGCCAATCTCACACCCTCCCTTTGGGTTGAAATCGCTCTTACCATTGTCTTTATAATTGATATTCTCCCCTCCTCAGTGTTTGGTTGGTCTAGTCTCTATTTTCGGTTGTTTGGTCATCATCCCAATTTGTCCTCCCTTCGTACGTTTAGTTGTGTGTGTGACTCGCACTTAGGTGCTTATACTACTGACAAACTGGAACCTCGTACCAAAGAATATGTTTTTGTAGGTTGCAACTCTCAATTTAAAGGATACCGATGTCTTGATCCGGACACCAATCGGGTTTGCATCTCCCGCCCTGTTTTATTTCCAAATTAGTTCGGTCATATCTCTCTAATTTTGGTCCGGCTGTTGCCCACCCCTAAATTGTATAAGGCTTTGAGACGATTGACATGGCATTAATTATCATTATGGTAGCGTTTTGATTTATTAATATGGAACTAAGTTGAAAATCAGCTCCCTAATTTTATTTACAACTGATCCTGGCATTTAATCTCCACTATACGAATTAGTTTGTTGAGACCATCTTTTAGTTGTTGTGTTCTTTTATCTACTATTTGAACTCAACAATTTTTTAAGTATATTCAACACTTACTTTGGACATGAACTAGTACTGTAGTCTAGTAGTATTCATTTTCACTTGTATGTGAGAGATATAAGGTTTACCTTACATGGATGATGATGACTCTTATATTTTTGTTGCGTTCGATACCTAGTTAATAATTGAATCATTCTATAGCCCAACCCAATCCCCTCCCTATAGAGTAGAATACCCTCATCGGATCTTATGAGTAGAATTTTGTTGATAAAAAGGTTAATTTAGACGTGCAGTGTAAAACTTTTACCTTAATACGCAATCGATATATGGCAGTTTTGATATAACATTAGAGGATTAAAATTTGTACTAAGCCAAACAATAAACCAACCGTAATTTAGTATTGAACTAGCAACTGAGCCCGCGCGATGCCGCGGATTTTAAAATTGTGTTAAACATGTGAAATATATTAAAATCTATTTACATCCATACGAAAATTTATTTACATATATATGTTCAATAAGAAACAAAAGATGAGAGATTAAATGTCAAATGAATCCATTGTGATGCTTATCAAATACCCTACAATACAGATTCTTATTAGTAAAGAACCATATGCGAAAGTGATATTAATGTCCAAAATCTTTGTGAAAAACCATAAAATGGTCACTTCCAAGTATAGGTTTTCCAAATACCCCACATGATATGAAAAAGTGAATCTGTCCCAAAGCTTTGTAAAAACTATAATAAGATCTCTTCCAAGGACATGAATTATATCACTTACAATTGCTACAATTTTATTCAAATACAAACATGTATAATGCTTCCAGATTCAATTATCCAGAGACCAAATATTGGGAACTTTCGAATTATAAGCTCATTGGACATAATATCCCAACTATAGGCATAGGGAGATTTGAAATCACACAGGTATGAAAAGAGAAGCAAAAGAAAAAGCAAAAGCAGGAGAGTCCATTCACCCTAGGTGAATATGCTCGTCTACGTTTCCAAAAATTAGTCTGTCACAGCTGCTAAATCCTTTTCAACTTTGTGCAAAAAAAAATCTCTTTCTTATGTTTACTTGAAGTGCTGATTTCAAATCGGTGATCCCTTTCTCACCCTGGAAACATTTAACAATTGCAATTAGTAAAATTTTATTGATAAGGGAAAAGAGAAAGGTAAGTAATAAGCAAAGTAGACAGATGTAACAGAGCAACACAGAGAGAGAGAGAGGGAGATAGAGAGACTTAATGGTTTTATATGAAACTTGAATTCCTTTAACTCTTAGCCTTCTAATAGTTGCAAGCAAAATTGAGGTTCACATGCTAGGAACATGCTATTGAGGTTTCATATAGAAAAGGTTAGTTGTTTCTTATTTTCTATACTAATTATTGAATTTTGAAAGTCTGAATAGTTGGGTTTTCTGGTTGCTTCATTAGATTTTGAAAAAAAAAAAAAAAGAGTACAAAATATAAAGTGCAGGGAAGATAAACCACAAATCTCAATTAGCAAGGACTAAAATACGCATAAAAGCATTTGGAGTTAGGAAACGTCCATAGAAGAGAATGCGTGTGTGTTCTGTCACTCTCTGTTCATTTTTACCTCAACCACAACCAAAATTTGATTTTTCACACCCAATTTGATCAAATTAACTGGCTTTGCTTATTGGTATCCTCGGAAGATGTCATCGAAACCATCCCCATTATCAGAGAAATTAAAGAGGTAAAATCCACTGACTAATGATTAAAGCATGGAATTATGAAAACAACTAAAATTATTGACAAAAGATACAACAAAGATAAAAGAACTCCTGTAATTGGAAAACAAAACCCAATACACAGTGAATGAAGATAAACACGTTACATAGTTAAAGAAAACTACCTCAATAGACCATCCATCCATCCACCACAAATACATCTAAAGAGTAGCCATCGGTTGTCGAGAAGGCATGTGCTTCACGGATGCTAAGTCCTAATTCCCAAAGCAAGGAAGAAACCAACAGAAAATGACATAAGTTAGAAAGATGCGACCATAGTATGGTTCTATGTACTTTTGCAGTTATCTTGGATCCTACAACATAAACAATGCATATAATATATGTATTAAATGCATTGAATAGTCTACTGCTACCCTTAAATTCATTTTCCACTTATCTCAGAATTTGAAGGCTATAAATTTATAACTTTATATTAAACGAAAGAAATTATAATGACAAAGAACTCTTCCAATAGGTCTTCTGACAATTATATTTAATAACCAAGCTTATTGTATTGAGGTACCATCATGTTTAGAGTCTAGACTCTAGACACAAAAACATCTGATGGAGAACCATAAAACATGAATGACAGTCAACCATGGGAAATACAATTATAGAAGAGCCAACACACTAATAGCATAAAATTAAGCATCCAACTCAAACTTAATCACTAAGAGAGAAGTAGCAACTTTCGTAATTTCTTTTTTGGTACAAAGGAATGAACATCCTAATACATGGATAATGTTGTTTGGTAAACAGCTCTTCTCCTCTGCTTCTTCAAAACTCAAAACTTTCACATTCACTAAATCAAGTAAGCCTTGTTAATACCCTTTTGGAGTTTGACCTACCAGTTCTTTAATAATGCAAACAAAACTACATAGTTCTACATACACAATCATATAACAAAAGTCTAGTGGTACATTACTCTGAAGTGGCTAGAGCTGAATGCAATACATCTTCTAGATAGTTCTCCGCAGCAGCATATTGCCTTTTCTTGTCCTCAATTGCTAAAGCATCCAAGGCTTCATCCTGCACAAATACATATCTCATAAACCTCCCAATCTTTCTAGGACCTAAATAAAATTTGACCAATTAACCAAAGTAGAAAACTATCGGATGCTCAAAGTATCATGAACAAACTTTGTCTTCTCTAATTCCTTTCTGTGTTCATCCAATTCAACCAGCACCCGATGGCTAATCTCTGGGGTGTAGTCCATGCAACCAAGTTCTGTACATCACATTCAAAACCCCCATCCCCCCAACAAACCCAGAACATTAATGAAAAAAGTTTTAATCCTTAAATTCAATTAGACAAAATCATGAAATTTTTTCTAAAGCCTAATTTTATTAAATCACAAATTCGAAACAAATTTAAATATGCAATACAACTATAAGATAAGAATCCTTTTAGACTAACCTTCATGGTGGGTGTTGACAGAATCGTCGGAAAACTCGAATCCAATGTTGATGTGAAATTCAACATGAAAGGGTGAAGAAGAGGAATTTCAATTGGAAAGATCTGGAGCACAGTGGCTGCTTGGTGAGGAGAAGTTGCTCCAGAAGGTTTTCGAATGTAGTTCGGTGATGGGGAGCTCTGAGTATCATTGGTTTCAGATGATTGGTGAAGGGGAGGAAATTAAGAGCGAGGGAGGGCTAGTTCGAAAGGGACAAAAATCCCCAACACTGAAAAGTTAAAAAAATCCAGAAATCCCTAAAAAACCCACAAATTCAAAACCACAAAAATCCAATTTAAAAGATCCAATCACCAAGATCGTTTAACATGAATCACGACCATCAAAACACAAACTGTAGTTCATAACTATTGTACAGAGTATAACTCTTACAGCAGATCCACTACGTCCTTGCGACTGCCAATACTGATCACTCGCAAATGATCAGATCGGAATCGAAACAAAAGAGATAGAGAGATGAAAAAAGGCAAACACAGACGGAGAGAGAGAGAGAGAGAGAGAGAGAGAGGAGAAAAGAAGAAGAAAGGGAAAATGAAAGATGTTGAACACGAAAAGTGAAAGTGGAAGGTAAAGCAAGCAACCCAGTCGAAAGAGAGAACCCAGTGATGATCAACGCGTGGATCAAATGGGTAAAACCGACTTTTGACTGTAGAAAAGTGAAAACAGCACGGCAAGCAGAGAAGAAATCAAGGGCATTTTCGCCCTTTTACTATTGCTGAACAGTGCCGGATTCAACTAGCTTTTAGTATATATAATTTTTTATCTAAGGGAGTCGACTCTAAGGCTTCCTATTAACAATTAAAGGGAGGGATACCATTAGACTAAATATAGTACAATGTATCATTTCAAGTTTCAAGCCTCGTTAGCAGCTCGTATAAGAGATCGAACAGGATAAATAGTACACACCCATTTGTTTGGTGTATGATGTACTAAATAGTGCTCAAAATGGTTAAGCTGGCCCAACGTATTTTATACATGTTCAAGCCCGCTAATTTATCCATCCCAAAACCTATGTATTCTAAATAATGCTAGGCACACTAACCTTTTGCACCAAATGATGTAGCACCAATCACATTTGCATTTTAATTCAAGATGAAATTTAGACCTAATTGGATAAATGGCCTTTGTGATAATAGGATAGTTGGAAGGTAAACTCCGTGAAAAAAAAAAAAATTCAAATTTAAACCCTTATGGTGAAGTATATTATGATTTTCAAAAAAAAAAAAAAAAAAAAAAATTACCATTAATTCTCCGTTGAGCCCATTAGTGATAGCTCCATACTTAACAAACAAGCTTCCTCCCCTTTCACTACTAGTTGCAAAACGGCCAACTATAGTTTGGAATTAACTTGACTATTGCCTCTATGTCTTACACTTGGGATGCTAACGGCTAGAGGGAAGCACAAGAAAAAAGAATTTATCTCTTTGTACATCTCTACCATATCTTTGCTATGAAATTCTAAGTTTTATTTAAAGAAAATAATAGAAAAAAAAATTCACGTGGATAGGGCAAACATGGTAATGACTGAGGATGTATGATAGCTTAGTATGTACCTTCATGCCATGTCAGCTATAGTTTGTTACAAGTTAGTTGAGTTGTTAAAAGTTAGTTAGCTTGTTAAGTGAGCTGGAATGAGAGAGAGTGCTAAGTCATCAATTGTAAGAAATGCTATATATAGCAGCCTATGTGCAATAGCTCATTACCGTTACAAAGCAATATGCACAAGAATATTCAATTTCTCTCTCTTCCTTTCATCTTTTTATTCGACTTCTTTCTGCATTTTATGTTTCCTTTCTTCATTAGCATAGTTCAATTCTTCTTCAATTCATAGTTGTTAAGATGGTATCGAGCCAGCAATTATGCTGTGAGGTTTGATGGTCTACTGTATTTCTCGATTTTGCATCTGGTGATCTCTTCCTGCTGCATTAATGGTGTTCTAGGTTTCGAAATACTGGTGATATTTCTGGAAACTTCAGGTGAAATATTCCAAATTCTCCCTGATCTGATTTCGTTGTAAGAGTTTTTATGGGTATTTCTTCAACATCTGTATGATTTGTGATTTCAGTTGTTCTAAGTAGTCTTTGTTTTAGTGTTTTAGAATAGTTGTGAAAATTTTTCTAACTGGAGGCACGAAGCCATTGTTAGTTAATTCTTGATTCTTGGAATGTTTTAGTGGGCACGAAGTCATCTTTGATTGCTTAGTTAAAGTTTGTTGTGGGCACAAAGCCATTTCTTGATTCAGTTGTTGGTTTAGCTTTCTTGATTAATTTCTTTCAGTTCTTGGGAAGTATTGAGTGCGATAGTTGGTTACTATATTTCTTGGTTAAAGATTCTTGAAGTTTTTGTGATAAAGATTGAAACAATGTCATCACCATCTATGAAATTTGAAAGCCTTTTAGGCATGTTGACAATAAAGTTGAATGATAAGAATTTTGCAAAGTGGGTGTTTTAGTTTACCTCTATACTCAAATGGTATAAGTTGTTTGGTCATTTTGATGGATCTGTTAAGTGTCTAGCAAAGTTTGTCATTAGTCCTGATCAAGGAGTCACTAATACAATTTCTAATGCATTCTTGGAATGCGAATCTGTGGATCTTGCTCTCTTGAGTTTGTTGATTGCTACTTTGTCAGATGAGTCCATTGAGCATGTACTAAGGTCTAAAACTGCAAATAAAACTTGGGTCAATTTGCAAAATAGATATGCATATGTCTTAAAAGCTAGAGTTAATACTCTCAAGACAAAATTTTAGACTATGCAAAAAGGAGGAAGTTCAATTGATCAATACTTGTCTATGCTTAGAAATATCAAAGACCAGTTAATTGCTGCTGGTGAAGTAGTTAGTGACAATGATTTCATTGTTGCTACATTGTCAGGCTTGCCAAGATAGTATTTTGTTATAATGACTGTAATCTTTACAAGAGATACAACTATGTCACTAAGAGAATTTCGAGAAAAATTGCTGTGTGCAGAAAGAGAAGTTGATTATGTTATTAACAATTTGTCTTTAAATATTGCTGGATTGTATATGCAAGGGATTATTGGTTCAAGTTCTCGATCTTCAATGGCTCAATGATCTTCTAGCAAATCTGATAATGTACCCTTTATTATTGGAGGAACTTTTACACAGATACCAAATGCAGGTTCCACTTTTGGAGGAAATTATAATCAAGAAGCATCATCTTCGAATTCAGTACAGATGTCATATCCTATTCCTGATTCAATACAAATACCATTTCCTTCTCAGGTTCTAGTGATGTTTCCTTCTCCATTTCCTTTACCACAATCTCAGATTCAAGGATATAATAAGGTTACAAATGTTTATGGTTTTGTTGGGACAAACAATAATCCAAGGCAATTCAATAACAATAGTCATCGACCTTACTATGGTTCTGTTGATCCTAAAAACTACCAAACCTACGTGGCGCATAGGCCGAGTAATTAATAAGCTAACTACGTCATTCAGTTGTGTGCGGGACGTGCCAACTGGTCGGCTGAGCTCGGCCAAGGAGTAAAATGTGTTGATGTTGCATTAAGCGTGCTGCTGACTTCTTAATCTTACGACGGCCGAGGAAAGAACACGTCTCGACCTTCGGGTTCTAAAGGCTGAAGATAAGGCTGCTAGTCTTGCGAAGTTCATGGATCGTTGGCGCCGGGTTTGATCACGGTGATTATATTCCTAAAAGTATAAGTACGCCGAACTGGCACCAAATTATACGAGCACAAGTACTCAAAATAGATGTATGTCTTGATGGTGAATGTGGTTCGACCGTCAGAATGCCGAACTCTAAAACTTACTTGTGAATATCCAATCATAAAACAACTTGGTGTTTAATGTGCCGAGCCCAATAATCTATAACACCTTACTCCGCTGAAAAAGCTAATGAGATGACCTTTGCCAACAAGGACTCGAAAATCCTTCTTGACCGAGACTTGGATAGATAATCAGTCGGCCTCGACGCAGTGCTGTTTATCCAAACTAAAGGTGCTTCGTGGTCAGCTGATTCTACGGCAATGGTGCTGTTTATCCAAACTGAAGATGTGTTGGTGGAAAAAAAAAAAAAATTCAAGATTTTTTAGAGTTTTTGCATAGAGCGAGAGTTTGCGCAGGGCAGTTTGTGTGTTGAATTGAAAGGGCTTAAATGATACATGTTTTTCTCTATTTATAGCAATAAACTCTTTTATGGCTGAGCTAGAACCACACTCGGATTAAGACTTCTTAACCTAATCTAACTTGGACTCGGCCAATCCTAATTTAACTGGGACTTTGAACTAGGGCTGGGCACGGGCCGGGCCGGGCCCAATTTTGAAGGGACCGGACCGGACCTAGGTTCAAAGGGAACGGGACGGGCCGGGCCGGGGATTACATTTTTTAATATAAGAACCGGACATTACCCGGCCCGGTTGAAACAGGCCGGTTCGAGCCGGGTCCACGGGTCCCTTTTTTTTTTTTTGGTTGTTTGAAAGAAAAAAAAATTGTACAGAATACAGATTGCAAACTGCACAGATTGCAATCTGTACAAAAAACTGCACAGATTGCAATCTGCACAAAACTGCACAGATTGCAAACTGCACAAAATTGCACAGATTGCAAAACTGCACAGATTGCAATTGCAGAAAGTCACATACTGCATTTATGCAGATTTTGTACAAATTCACCATTATTCACAATTTCACATCCAATCTAAATACAAAGTCCAACATCCAAGTTCATAGATTAACAATACATCCAAAAGAATAATATTACATCTTCCAACATCTAAAAATCAAATCAACATACAAAATATCCGAAAATAATCTACAGTCTACGCTCTCAACAAGAGTCTGTTTCTATAACCATCTCAATTGAGAAAAAAAGTCAAAAAAACCAATACTATTTTCTCATTATATGAATTGAATCATGAAAGAGTAGGACAGTTGTGATTAATTAGGGTTTAGAATATCTGCTCCCTGGTCGAAAGCATAGTCAAAGGAGACCTGCCCCTATTGCCGCACAAGCCTACAAGTAACAAACCTACAAGTTTATATTGTGAAGTTTTAAGATATGAAAGATTTATACATCTGTCCAACTGTATTACATTAGCATAACACGCAAGTTACAGCAGCATTAGTCCTAAACAGTAATTAGAAAATCAGTCAACAATAAACTATGGATATCAAATACTCTTAAATTTCTGCAAATTTAAATACCAAACAACTTAAAATCTACAATCTATAAGCAGATCCATAAAATTCAAAACCAATAAACAAGTTTCTGCAAGTAATCAAATCGCAGCAGTCCATATAATCAATCAAAATGCTTATGCAATCATAGCCCCAAAAACCCTAAATTCCCAAATCAGAGCCAGCGGCATAGCGCAAATAAACAGGCAACATTAAAGGGGCAAACAGAGGACAGAAGCATGAATTCTATATAGAATCAGAAAAAGCAACTGCTCAACCCCACATTAACAGATAGGTTCTAAGTTGACAAGTTGATGATTTCAATACAAAACTTAAAACATATTGTCATTCTATCCCCAACATC